TATTTGAAAGCGCAAACGCGATGATGCGTTGTAGCGATTGTATGGTTTTGTCTACTCGATGCAGTTTAGGTGTTAAGGCCTCAAGCCTTCGTAGTCAGGTCGGTGGTGGTGCGTTTGAGTCGCATCATCATTCGTCTGAGAGGCGCCACACAAGTGAAATGAGTGGAATGGCAGGCAGCAGTGTCACCAGTCATCTCGCAATCTGACAGTGCCATGGGACAAACACTTCCAACACTTGGGAAGAAGGTGGATTTTAAATGTGCGCCTGTCTTTATTATCACCCAATTTAAGGGATTAATTTGATGTTATAAAATAAAACAGCCAATCAGAGAAGTGGATGGAAATGAGAAACTGATTAATTGTCAACCGTTGACTTAATTTGCTACTTTACTTTCCTAACACTTTACTTTAGATGATTTAAATCGCGATTGGTAGGAATTAGTTTGGCTGTCAAAGTGGCACCTCATTTGTCCCACCTTAAATGGTCTTCCGGGTTTCGTGTCAAGACAAAAAAACAGAACTACAGTCCAAAAGCCGGTTGTTTGTGGTAGGGTTTTGGGGTTTGGTGAGTGTACTTAAGACTCGTGCTGTTTGCAATCACTCGTAAAATTTAGTACTCATGCAAAAAGATGAGGAATTTTTCGGGCTGAGTGGGGAAGAGCGCAGTGGGGGTGGCGGGCGATGAGGAACCGTAGGGGGGGTGGGGTGGGAAGGGGGAGTGACAAAGCACTGTTCGGTAGTAAATGTGCTATTTCAGTTTTACAATAAAGAAGTGGGTAAGCAGTGTTGTTGTTGGCAATCGGTTTAATGCAAGCCAAACTCCTGTCACCCTCCCAACAACAATCGGTCAAACAGCACTACGTCATAAGCACCAACAACAAAATGGCAACATTAAAAGTTAAGCGAATTACAGTGTGACAAAGGACAGGTGATTATAAGGTTTGAGCACAAAAAGAGAGGAAAAGGAAATGCTGGATCGGACACAAAACCACGAATCAGTTGTACTTTTCTTGGCGCTTTTCCTCTTCACACCTTACAAGCCAAAAAATGGGACCAACACACTGAAATGATTTGAAGCAACGCCTCCACAACTCACGTTTACAGACTACTTTAATTTTACCAAATAAAAAAAAGGTAAAATAAGCACCACGCACACACAAATCCTTTCAAACCTGCTCGACTTGACCACTGAAACGCCTGCAATGCTGTCAAGAGAGTGGTTGAGCAGACGTGTTAGATGGGTGTCGCCCCCATCACACCCCCTCCGCCCCCCTTCTCCAAAGGTGGTGAGACTGAATCATCCCCCATTAGTCACCACCTCATACGGACGCGTGGGGGTAGCAGCAGAGAAACACGAACTTTCTGTTGTTGATGTGTGCCTTCTAAGCTGTGAATGGCCCCATGACTTCCTTGCAATGCCAACGTGCTGTCGCATGACAACCAAGGCCTTTCAGCTCTTTTTTGTTGAATTTTAGTTATTTTGGGGTGAAGAACTTGTGCTAAAGTACTTCAAGTGAAACCGTTTTAACCACTCATGCGGTCCAATGAAGGGGTTTTTTTCGTTAAGTGGTAAAAGAGATGCTAAAAGTGAAACGATTGTGTCTACACTACTGGCCTTTTGACAGGTCACTTGCAAATAAATAATCCTGTTTTAGGTGTAAAGAGGAGGAGAAGACGAAAAAAGTAAATGGTATCCAAAATGGAAAAAAAACAACGGTTATCCTAACAAGTTGTGAGAGTGTAGCGGCCTGATTTACACGCGCCAACAGCCAATGAAGTGAATTGGCGAGTTGTGTTAACCCAAAGGAGCCTCCGTATTTCAGGTCAACGGTTGGAGAGAGAAAAAGCAAAAGTTAGCCGAAAAAAGGGGGAAATCATTGTGGTGAAATAATAAAAGTTGGTGAGAAAGAAGTAAGTAAGGAGTGAGGAGGACATTTTTAGGTGTGTTTAAGACTGAACAGTGGCAAAGTAGAGGTGTGAGAGGGTGGAAAAAGGCTCCCCACAATGCCGCATGCCCCCATTTGGCAGCGGCTGCTCACCACTGTGAGCCTCAAGCCTCCATCGGTCTGTATTAAGACTGTGCGCATTAAAATCTACACTACATCGAGCTACTTGCTCTGACCGCTGTCTAAAGCACAATAAAATCGGAGGGGATATTTAAAACACCATTTGAAAGATCAATCATAGGGCAGAGGTGAGACGTCAACAGGGTTAATTGCGAACATACTGGTGGGTAGATTAATTCGCAAAAAAATAAAATTGAGGCAGTGGGGGGAATTAATTGTTGCTGTGTTGGAGAATGTTGACTACATTTAACCTCCTCCACTCCCCACTCCTCCCCATCCCCCACTTATGTTTAAGTAATGCAAAGCAGTGATGAGCAGTGGGTGGAAGGAGGTCTCATTTCCGCACCAACTGATGCAGTGATCATTCACCAGGCACGAGTCGACATATGCTTCTCTCGCTGCTTCTCATCTGTGCCTCCACTTGGTTAGGGTAGTTGGAAGTGTGTGTGAAGGGAAGACTAAGTTAAGAAGGAGTGTGTATGGAAGGTTTGGGGACAACGGTCATAGATAGAGTGAAGGCGGAAGGGGAGAGTGCAGAGAAGGTTGAAGGGGAGGGGATGAGAAAAAGGAGGAAAATGGGAAGAAGAAGAAGTAGTAGTATGAGGAGGAGGTGGAGGAGGAGGATGAAATTCCATTTCACTATCGCATCATTCAACCCCACCTTCTAGCCCATTTCAGACTTTTGCACAATTCTACTGCGCATCCACACCATTTCGAAGGTGTTGAGGGTGGATGACTCAGTGAAGTGACT